CAGGGAGATGTTCGTAAGATAAAGTTTTGTCAATGGTGTGGAGGACCTACGAAGCACGAGATACCTGATGGTGAAGAGAAATTGAGAGCTATTTGCACACATTGCGACAAAATCGCATATCAGAATCCTAAGATGGTATTGTTTTTGATTCTACAAACAATGTTACATGAACGTTTTGATTGAAGTTTCTTATGTGAAATTGTAGGTTGTAGGTTGCTTAATTGAGCATGAAGAAAAGGTTTTACTTTGCAAACGTAACATTCAACCCTCACATGGTCTATGGTATATACATTTTGAGAACATAATCTATATGAAAATGTCGATTTTCTTAGTGTCTTTGTGTGTGAAAGTTATATGAATACACAGGACTCTTCCTGCTGGTTATCTAGAAGTTGGAGAGTCAGCTGCACAAGGAGCAATGAGGGAAACTTGGGAAGAAGCAGGAGCTACTGTGGAAGTTATTTCACCTTTTGCGCAACTCGATATTCCTCTTATTGGCCAAGTGAGATATTCATACAAAACATCCCTTGTTTGCTTTTCTTCCTTCTTTGTATTGTTTGTACTGATATGACTACTTGTTTTTTTTGGAGCAGACGTATGTGATTTTCTTAGCAAAACTGAAGAACCTAAATTTTGCGCCTGGTCCTGAGTCATTAGAGTGCCGTCTTTTTGCACTAGACGAGATACCGTTTGATTCCTTGGCTTTTTCATCTATTTATGTTACCTTAAATTTGGTAAGAATATGGCCAAAAAAATAATCTCATACTAACCAGTCTCCATTCACTAGATCTTAAACAACATGTTTGCTTCTTTGCAGTACTTGGAAGATCTGAAAAACGGGAAACTAAAGTTTCACTATGGTACGATAAATAAAAGGTGCGTTCCAATTAACATCCCGATGTGTGGAGTGATTGTTCAGAGATACTATTAACAGTTGCGCTTTTTTCTTTATTTCAGTTATGGTTTTAACGTGACTGATTATGTGCTTTGTTCTTTCTCAGGCCTGGAAGTAGTCCTTCAGATATTCGCGCCTTTACTCTTGATTACCATTTGCAGCCTTGACTCCAGGTTTGACAATCATTCCCCTCTACATATATGTATTCGGTCTACTGGAGTTTCTCAGATGAGGAGTCCTTTAGGGGAAAAAAGTCCTCTTAATGAGTTCTCATCGAGGCTAATACGAGATCCATTTTTCTCGACAGCTTACAGGAGCGGCTTCTGGTTCTGGATTTGCTTCATTCTTCCATGTATGTGTATTGTCATTTCGCACCTCGTTGACTAAAGGAAAGGAGAAATGAAGTTGTTTGTGTGAGAGAATCCTTGGACCGATGAGAAGAAAAGACGGAAGATTAGGTATCTCATTTCAGATTCTGGTTTCAGTTGCCTCAGTTGTAAAAGGAAAAACTTCAGATGTGAATGCAACATTTTGATCAATCTTTGTGTAATTAGGCAATGTGTTACTTTTACTTAAAGTCTTCGGAGAAAGAGAAACCAACAGATAGGATTTTTATTCAGAACACAAGCACAAAGACAATTACAATTCTTGTTGGAAATGTAAATGCATCAAATCAAACAAACAAACTGAGAAAAATCAACATAACAGGAGCACAAAGATAATTTAAACTAAAGAACTGAGGTTGAAGGAACCTATCATGTTTGCGAGAGCTGAACTCATATCTAGCTCAAGCTGGAGCTGCTGGAGTTCAAGCTGTTGCCTTAAAGCCGGATCTTCCACTTGCTCTATTGTTGCAGCTGCTTGTTGCGTCTGGTCAGTCTCCAAACCCTGACCAGGAACAGATTCAGCGTTCGCTGCCTTTCCTTCACTCGTCTCACACTTTTCAGCAGCAAAAGTAGCCACTGGCTTAGGCTTATTCACAGCACATGAAGCATGAATATGATAGTTACAAGCATAACAGTTATAAGACCAAAACCTACCATCCATGTTCAAATTACAGAGATTGCAGACAAGCTGATTCGCGTAACCAAACGAAGTAAAAGGCATAGCAGGAGGAGTACTGTTGTAAACAAGAAGAAGACTATGGAAAGGATGAGACTCATGAACCATGACTTGAGGCAAATGCGCGCATTGAACATGGAGATCAAAGTCACACATAGGACAACAGTAAGAGAAACCTTTACCTCCAGTGCAGCCACATGCGCTGCAGAGAAAGGTACCGGCGCTGTAAGTTGTGTAAGGGACTAGAGTCAAGTGGTGAAGCCCCGCGTGGGAAGGATGTTGCATCCCACGCGCTGCGTTACCACATTCCTCATGGAGATTGAAGTCACATGTTGGACATATATACGCGGTTTCGGAGTCAGAGATGGCTAATTCGCAGCCTGAGCAGATTACCGAAGAATCGGAGTCTTTATCTGTATGAATCTGTTGGAGTTTTAGAGTGTGTGGATGGCTGAAATGTTTGTACTCCATTGATCACACTACTTTGGAGTTTTCTCTCTTTGATTTAGCAACTCTCTTGTGTGTTTGGATCATGGTTTTATCTGACTTTGACTTGTTCCAAAACTTTGTGATTGGTTAATAATTTTGATTTTGTTATTCTTAATGTGCAATTTGATGGGAAATTAGTAGTATTTGGATGATGAAAATAACAGAAAGTTGAAGAACGTAGCGTTGAACTTAAGAAAGTCAACTACTTGAGGTTTGACTTTGACCAAAGAAACTACTGTATAGTTTGTTTAATAATTTCGTTTTTAAAATCTTTTTCATGTATAATTATTATGGGATTTATTTATGGGAAATTGGGTTGTATAACCATATGAACCACCAATAACAATTAGCTAAGTTGGCAATGATCGAAATCACAACAACAGACATTTTAAATTTGACGAGTTCACTAACATCAT